GAAAAGCTCAGTGTCCAGAGTGTTTGTGAATTGGGACAGGGAAGAATATTGGTATTGCGGGTTGAGGCTGCCGGACGGGAGGCCCACATTGCTCACGGCCCATCTGCGTGTGGTGGTCACATAATATGTTGCCGGGCCCAAAGTCTCGTTGTCACTCTCGAACAAGACTTGATCAGCAGACCGAACGGGCCGCCCACCGCTGTTCATTGCAAAGCTCGAATCTACCGGAGAAAGTGATTTAAATTAAGTGTAGGACTAAAGCTAAGAAAGCTAAATTGTAAAAAAGAAAAAATGTGAAAAAGAAAAAGAAATCGCTTACAAGTAGGATTTCCTCGTCCGCACGGAAAGTTCCGCTGAAGACAATTCAATCCGGAAGGCAACGAACTATGAAGCGAAAAAAATGAAAAGTTAATTTATGCAAAATACAAGAAATTTAAGCACAATTTAAGTTTAGCATGTCACATTTTTGTATTTAATTAGTACATTTGCACCTGCTGTTAGAACTGCTGATGGTGAAGTTGTTTGAAACCAAATTGCTACACCAAAAAAAATAATAATAATAAAAAATGCTTTGCTGTTAGAGCCGATACAGGGGAATAATTAAGTATATAAATACAAAATAGTGAGAGCGTGATTTTGTTTGAATCGAACGACAAATGTAAGGAATTTGGGTTCGCTCGATCATACAGTTGTAGATTCTGTCCGCTGATCCAAGGCGGTAGGCCCCCGGATAATCCATTGTACGACAAATCTCTGCATGAATAGTATATAGTTGGTTCAAAATTTTAAGGTTGTCACGGAAAAATGAAAACATTAACATTGTTGAACAAATATTCTAAATACGGATGATTTCAATCAATAACTATAGGACAGTTTAAGATGGAAATGTAAAAAAAAATCTTCTTGCAACGGTGAGTATAAATTGAAGTATTTGAAAGCAGAATACTTACATTGTTCGAAGCGATGAACTTCTTTGTGATGGCAACGTACCTGTTAACCGGTTGTTGCCTAGAAACCTAAAATCGGAAAAATGAATAAATAAATACAAAACAAAATAATAAAAAAAAAACGATACATTACATGCACGAGTAGTTAATTAACTAGTAATGTAATTTACAAGTGTGTTAGAGAACTATGGTTGAGAAGCGACTCCGGAACAGTTCCGGTGAAATTGTTGAAGCTCAAATCCCTGAGACATATATAACACGAACTCGTTATTTCAGTGAAAATAGTCAAAATTAATGTACGTTATGAATAAATGATACTTACAGGAGAGTCAAGCTCTGAAATGAACCGAAAAATGAAGGTATCGAACCGGAAATATTATTGTTTCGCAACATTCTGTAATATAATACCAAAAAAAAAAGGGTGAAAATGATAGTCACTTTTGCTTAGAACTTATTGCCATTCAAATTGCTGTTTTATGAATCTATTTGCAGATATTCTTACAAGGTAGATAGAGAAGTCATGCCTCTGAGGAAGTCCAATGAAGAGCTCCCATTAGCTACATCACTTATTCTCCTAACCGT